TGTGCAGGCATCATGTCATGGGGTTCTGAGGTCAGTACCATCTCTATCCCCCTCGCACAGATGGGGAGTCAGGTTCAGAGTGGTCAGGGAGAGGGCTGTACCCAGGCTGTGAAAAGGGTCAGAGGGGACTGGGGTCTGGGAGAGGATGTTGGGAGAGGGGGAGGCTGACGCCTGGAGCCTCCAGAGGGAGAAGGGGCCAGAAAGAATCTGCCCTGCTCTGAAGATGAGGCTAAACCTGGCGGCCATGGTCACATCCCAGCTCCTCGACCTGGGACCAATGGTCAGTCATTGCTGTGGTGATGATAATATTGTCATATGATAGCCCTGCTGATGTGTTATTGTTGTTGTTATTGTGGGAGAGGGTGAAGCCCACTCTGACACATGGCAGGGTCCTGGGGAGGCTTGCCTCTCTCTCTCTCTTCTCCTCGGGATCTGCTAAGCTCCACGCAGCACCTCCACTCTAAGTGCGCCCTGTCAGTGTCCCTGTCCCTACCCTGGGCCCTTGTCCCCAGAGCAACCCTACCCTGGTCACTCTCTGGCATCTTAGGACCCAGGCACAGCCTTCCAGAAGGCCCTGGCATGGGGCAGATGCCCAGCACTCAGTTTGGAATGAGGAAAACACCCCCTTCCATATCAGCTTAGGTGGGGCAGGTCATGCCAGGGTCTATTCATCCTGTCTGCCTGCGGTGGCCTCCACTGAGTGCCAGTGCTCTCTGTTTGTGCTCTGGGCTGGGGTAGGCGATGAGGGTCTGGGAGTGTGTGTGTGTGCATGTGTGTTTGGTTGTGTAATTCTGCATTATGGACCTGAGAGTCGGAGTTTCCGTGTGAGAATATTGATCGTGGATGTGAGTTTTCCACTGTGTGGCACTCTCTGTTTCTCTCTGTGTGCATTTGTGTGTCAGTGAATGTATTTCTGAATAACTGTATGTCAGTTGTGCAAATCTCTGTGGGTGTTTGTGTGCATGTGTGTCCCTGCTGGAGCATCTATGCGTCTGTTTTATATCTCTGTGTGTGTTGATTGTGTGTGTGAATTCCCTGCCCCTTTTTGTGTTCCTGATTGTATCTGTGCATGTGTGTGTGTCTGTGTTCTGTGTGTGTGTGTCCACTGCGTGTAGGGTCTGCCCTGTGGGGCTGTCTCATGTGGCCCTGAGTGTGTGTGTCTGTGTTCTCAGGGGTCGTTGCCTGTGTCTGCAGTGTGGGTCTGTGTGTGAGCCTGTCCATGAGCCCTATGCCTGAGTCCCCAGGTGAGGATGGGGGTGATTTTGTGCCTGT